AGGACAGAAAGAGTAGACGATTATCCTTTATTCCCAAATTCCTCAAGTTGTTCTAAACATAAGCGCCATCCTGAGACTGAAGAACAATGTTTTTTACCTTCTTTACAGGCGACTGTATAATTTGGTAGCAACTGCTCTATACGACAACAAAGCTAAAATATGGCTGCCACACATTCCTTTGGTTTTCTGTTAGAGGTGTGCGTGTTTTTCACATTGTGTTGTTTCTTTGCTGTGTACACTGCCTTCACTTTTGAATAATTTTATACCTTGCACTGACTCTTGTAGATTCTCATCACTGAAAATTGAACTGCTTTTGATACCTTAAATTAATCTCTCTGATCTACAAAAAATTTTTTTTTCTCAGTGCATCTTCCCATTCTCTCATGGTGCTGACTCTTTTATATCTGTTTAAGGCCATTAAGCACACATTGCCTTCATAATACAGTATTGAACCCTATACAGTTTTGTTTTATACTTTAGGGTCCAGTAATAGTATTTGAAGTAGTGATGTTTTCCACCTTCATATGCCTTTATTTGGTTTGGCATGTACACAGGAGAGCTGAACATGCAGCTGTTATTATCTCCAATGCATTGGAGGACACTGTGTTAACATTAAAGAAATGTTCCAGGTTCAGTACAACTTGAGAGATTGTAAACAAATAAAAATGCGTTTTTAGTAATGTACTTACAATACAATAATGGACTGGTGGTCCATGAAGGATTCCAAGTTTCCCAAAGTTGATTGGCTGATTTAAAAGAAAAGAAATAAATACAATTATTACATAAGTTAAATAATATTAATTAAATAACAAAATGATTATAATTGACAAAATTATATATATACATACATACATACATTAATTCAGTTAAAATAACTTCAGAACTTCAAAAGTTTGAGGCTGGATTTTTTTTTTTTTTTTTCCAAAAGAAGTCTTTTAAGCTCACCAAGGCTGCATTTATTTAATCGAAAATACAGAAAACGAGTATTATTATCAAATATTATTAGACTACAATTTAAAATAATGGTTTTCTAACTGTTGTGCTGCTTAATATTTTTGTGGAACATTTTTTTCAGGATTCTTTGTTGAATAGAAAGTTCAAAAGAACAGAAATTATTTGAAATGGAAATGTTTTTTAACATTATAAATGTCTACACCTTCACTTTTGACAAAATGCATAATACATACTTTTTGAATAAAAAGTATTAAGTTCTTTAAAAAAAAAAAAAAAAAACCTTACTGACCCCAAACTTTTGGATGGTTGCATATGTCAATATACAGGGTAGAATTGTTTTGTTGTTGTCTTTAAGACAATACTCACAACTGTTGGTCATTGATTTGAGGTAGTTTGTGGTCTCCCATAGATGTAGGTTGTTAGGTCATCTGCACATTTTGCTTTACTGAAGAAGTTTGAGATTTACCTCAAGAGAATTCCACTTCAGCAAAAGCAAAAAGTGCACATTTTGGCTTTTAAATCCATCCGGAATGCCTTGCCTCATTGTAAGTGCATTACTGTGAACATGATTTTATGTTTTACAAACTCAGGGACGAGTCAAAATGATTGTCTGTGGTAATCAACAGTATGTCACAGATGCTGGACAGCGTCTGCATATAGAGCTTAACTCATTTTGATCCCAGAACATTTCTTAAACTGTTCATTTTCAGTCCATCTGTTTTTCAAAAACAGAAATCAGGAGAATTCAGTTCTGAACAAGTCCTTTCATAAATACTTTGAGTATTACCACTGTGTAAATGGTATTGCAATTCAAATGATTTAAGTATTGATTAAGGTCAGGTTTATGTCTCAGAAAAGTTCATTTCTGACTCCTTTGTCCAACTGTATTTTATGGCCATGAAGTGCTCATCATTTCATAGCAGAAAGTGTTTTTTTAATTATAATAATTATTATTCCAGGATGCACTATTTCTCATTAAACTGCTGTTGATCAAATGGATACAGTATATTCCTCTGTGTCTTCACGCTTTTGATGTGTTAGAAAAGCATAAAACTGTAGTATTAGGCTCGCTAAAACACTGATCCCTTGGCTATTTGTACTTTATTTCATGCTGAAACTATGTTCTTGCCTTTGTGCTAAAACTATTTTTGTGTTGATGTTGCAAACATGAGCATCATTTGCTCTAAGAAAAAGGACTCTTCTGTTACTTTGTCATTTGAATTGCCCTTGTTTATTTGTTGGAATGAGTTTTTTTGTTTGTTTTTTTTTCGATTTTGTTAAGTTTGTCTCATTGGAACTACCTTGACCTGTAGTTAAAAATCTGCTGATTCTTTATTTAAGTGACAATTAAAAATGATTACCGTATGGTTGACTACTGTTTGCCTTATCAAACTCTACTAAGTTACAGAGACTGAACACTGAAACCTGATTGGTAAGTGTGCATGTTTAAATCAAATTACTTAAGCATTCATCTGAACTGAAACACATGTAATTGCTGTTCACTTCATTGGAAAAAAACATTGAGATCTTGTTAGGCTCACTTTCACAGAGTTGCTTGTCTGCAGGGTTGCTTTAAGCGGATTTATTTGTGTATAGTGCATCCTAGTGGATAAACTGGTTTACTGTGCATACTTTATTTTACATTTACAGTGTAAAACCAATAGATGGCGCCAAATGCTTGTCTTAAAGGGTTAGTTTATACCAGTGATGGGCAAACTTGGCCCTTCCAGGCCACTTTCCTGCAGAGATTTGATCCAACCCTGATATGACTCACCTGCCTGTAGCCTTCTAGTAGTCTTGAAGACAATGATTAGCTGGTTCAGGTGTGTTTGATTAGGGTTGGAGCTAACCTCTGAAGGAAAGTGGCCTGGAAGGGCCAAGTTTGCCCACCCTTGGTTTATACCCAGAAGTGGCCCATTGACTTAGTTTTCTTTCATACTTCACAGAGAAATTAAAGAAGGAAAAAAAAAAACTTTTTGGAATGACATGAGGATGAGTAAATGATGACAGTTTACATTTGTGAGGGTTCTATCGCTTTTAATATGAATTAAATATCAACTTTTTCTCACATTTGTTCTTGATGTCCTTATTATGAAAATATGAAATGTTAAATATTTGCAACCATCCATAATTGTATTCAACTTATTTACTTGTGTGTATATATTTTTTTATAAATGTGCATATAAAAAGATTATGAGCTGCAATATTTAGAATTTCAAATTGTGTCTTTTTTGCATGCACTAATAATAACTACCCTTGGAAAAACTGTATAGGATCATCAGCCAAACCAAAATAACTCCAGGCTTGTTTTTTTCTTTATTATGCAGGTCTAAATAACCAGGCTTTCTCTGAAAAATTCCACCCATCTGCACTGCCTGTCCTTTAAAAATACACATAAAAGCATTGTTATTAAGTCATATTAACGTCACATCACGATTCAGACGCTCAGACTCCCTGAGCTCATGTTTCTCTGGTGCACATATGGTACCTCGGCTCCTCGTGGAGTGGAAACTGCAGTCCTGTTTACATTCTCAAACAAAGGGGCTCATCAATGTTTCAATGGCTCTGCATTGTTCAATTTGTCCACCTTGTGTAATGTGGCGACCTAGTGCTAATATTTGCCTCGTCAAATGTGGACATATTTTCAGACCAGTCTATATTTACTCCCAAAGGGGTAACACACATATGATATTGAGTTGTAATATGGCTGTCTACCTGCCTTTTTTATGTGATCTCATTTTCAGTATTTTTTGGTAGTTTTACACTATCATTACCCTGCTGGATAGCCTTGCATGGCTGCACTACGCTATTTGATATTAAGTAACTACTATTTGATATTACATTTAAAGTAAAAATATTTAAAATGCACAAAATTGCAACTTCATAATTACAAATATATTTAAATACATGCCATGGAAGTTTCAATAGAAATGATGTTGAAGTATATTTTACCTTAGGCCTACCAAGGTAAATAAAAAGCAGTACACTTTAACCATATTTCAAAGACGATGGACATAATTATGAAATTACATATGAAGATGTATTTACATCTTAAGTGGGTCAAAAAAACATTGCATTTAATATCAATTTAAACTATAATACATTTTCATTTAATTGTAAATAACATGCAGTTAAGGGTTTAAAAAACATTACATTTAGTTCACACTTAAGTATATTATAATGTTTATTATCTACATAAGTACCGTAAAACTATACTAAAGTGTACTTCTTTTTCACAAGGGTATGCTAGTCTGGCTAGCAGATTAGCATAAGAATTTACAGAAACTATCTTTTTAAACTTTATTAGTCTTACCTGTAAACAAACTGTTTTATAGACCATTCATATTTTTAACATGTTAATATTTCACATTTAGTGACCCCTGACTAGTTGACCTTGTTTTTTTTTTTACCCAATTGTCTTTGTTCAGTCCAGCGATCGGTTCTGAGGTCTCTGATAACGCTTTCTCACTCTTTTGCTCCTTGCCTTAACCCGCCACAACTGAGTTTCACTAAGAGCCTATCAGTTACTGAGGCCCTGAAACCCAACACCTCCGCTTGGCACACTGGGATGCGCAAGGACAATGCCACAGGCCCTTGGCAGGGGGAGTACCTGCTCAGGTAACCAGACACTCGGACACCCCCACGAACCCATCGCTCGCAAAGCCCCAAGCCTCACATTCATCCTCAGAAAGAGCAGGTTAAGAGGAAGGACTAGTACAGAGTAGACTGAAGTGAATTCTGCAAGTTTTTAGTTGATAATTAGACAGGGATGTGTTTGGAAGTTTCCCAAATGCATTCATGGAGAAGGTTATTGGAGTTAGACTTGCTTATGTTGCTCTGAAAAACATGTTGAGCCTATGAGCACAACTTAATCGTTTGTGGGAAGGTCTCTGGAGGTCAATATTTCTTGGATCTTTTTGCGTGAAACCATGGTAAACCATCAAACTGCGATGGTATCCTGAAATGGTTTTGTGTATTGGGATCTCATCCATGAACTGGAGCTTCAACATCTCATTGGACACTGAAAGCTTTTATCATCAAGCGTGATGCATGGGCTTCCGTGCTCAGCGCTACAGTACTGTTTCGGTGGTCCTCCAGATGTTTCTGCTGCCTCTGCTCCATACCTGGACCCAGAAATCTCCAAAACTGGACCAGATCCGGTCATGGGCCTGGCTGTTCTCACTCAGCCTGGTCCAATAAACCCTGTGAGGACTGATAGCCAGCCTTCATTTAGCTGCATCTCCATCCAGACCAAGACTAACGGGACTAACGGGACTAACTCCAAAACCAAAGAACTGGGCACAGAGAACCAGGACACATTTAATTCGTACCCAAGCTCAGAAGGGCTCTCAGAGGAAGACGATGCCCAGGATAAGAGCCCTGTTGTGGACACAAAACGGCCACATATTCCCCGTCCATCTATCATCAGGCCACAAAAGGTATAAGAACACTGTATTACTAGGATTTGCACTCAACTTTTAGCTTGTTTAGGTATGGATGCCTGTTTCTGCCACAGAATAAAAATAAATAAATAAATAAAAAAGGTAATTGCAACTTTTTTATCTCACAATTCAATGGCAGAAACAGGCTTTAATAATTTTGCTTAGCTGGTTCCTGAAACTCCTAAAGCTCCTTCTGAGATTCTACTAAGTTCAGTGAGTGAAATTGCTTCATAAAAAATCATGAAATCTCTTGATCACATTTGGATTTCCTATTGAAGTTTGGTTGGGAAATAATTCTCTTTTTAAAAGTTACACTTGAATTGGCAAACTTTTTTTTCTTTATATGGCAGATAATGTTTATGGCAGAAATTGTAAGAGTAGTATGCTAGTATGCAATTCTGATGAGTTATGTCACTGCCATGAACCATGCTACTTGCTAGTCAGTTGAAGATGCTATTGGGGGAGGGGCATTCTCATTCTATAGAGCATTTGATTGGACAAAAATCTTTGTAGAGCAAGATGATGTCTTCAATATTTTGGTTCTTTATCCAAAAAGAGATAAAGCTATAGTTGTGTCCCAATTGACGTGCTAAACATTGGCACGTGTGATATGCACTATACACTACTGTCTAGCATATGCATTTTAGAAGGTTATTTTGTAATACAGCATCAGAGTCTGATAACCCTCCCCCTCCACTATGCAAGGAAATTTGTGACAATTGATTGTCCAACATTCCACACTTTGTTTTTGGTTGAATAAGTGCAGAATTTTTCTCATTGGAATTTTCAGTCAACACACTTTTTACACTCTTGACTACAAAAAGTTGTAAAAGTACATGAATTGGGACACACTATAAATTTGATTGCAGATGCCTCAAAGCTAATATGGACTGATTTCATTAAGGTCTTTATCAGGAAGTGTGTGTGTTTAGACAAGCCATTTAACACAAGTCAAACTGGTTGCACTTTAGCTCTTGTACTTAAGCTAAAGTTCTACTTGACCAAACTAACATCGTCTATCTGAGTTCAATCAGATGATCACCTTAAATAACCACTAACCATTTTTTAGGCCTGTTTGATATGTTTAAAATAATTAAAGGGGTCATATGATGTTGCTAAAAAGAACATTATTTTGTGTATTTGGTGTAATGAAATGTGTTTATGCGGTTTAAGGTAAAAAAAACACATTATTTTCCACATACAGGGTAGGTTTAGGGTTGGGGTAGGTGTACATTTTAAGAAAGCCTCACAACTTATTAATATCATGCTGGAAGCAAAATCTGATAGGTAGCACTTTTCGCTATCGAATTATGCTACCATCTGTTTTAATGGGAGGTAGCAAAATCTGACAGGGTAGCGCAAATCGTCAGAACACCGGCGGCCTAGAGTGAGTGGCGGCGGGCGGGCTTGCGGCAACCACATATGATGACCCCGGGCTGGACTCCGCTTCGTCCACGGTGAAAGCCGATCCGGCGATCCAAAGCGAGAATGATGATTTTCCTCAGCGACCAGCACGGATCAGCCATTTTTGGAAGGCCAAACAAATAGTTTCGCTTTCACAACGAAACACACAGCGCCTTCACGACATGGCGGCGGCGGCAACAACAATACTACAGCGAGAATAAAAGTTACGCCTTCTTTCTTTGCGTGAACATTTGGGCGGCGTTATGCAAATCTTCCCACATCGTGATGTAGACATGTGGGGGCGTGTTAGAACGAGCCATTTTAGTTAGGCGTGGTTGACTCTTAACTTTTATAAAGAATATCTCTTTGGATTTGAGACTTTAGTCTTTGCAACTTTACAGATCTTCTTTATGCACCAAGAGCTTGTAACACTCCAAAGAGAGAGGAAAAATTGAAATCGCATCATATGACCCCTTTAAGGCTTTTCAGTTGGCTTGGCCTTTTAAGTTTAACGTAATTGTAAGTTCCTGTAAAGGTTAGGACTAGCCTAGTCTGCTATTGAGATTTATTGAGGTCTCAGTCCATGAACAAGACTTAAAGGCTTCTCATTAGCAATGCTATTAAACTCGTGTGTGTGCGGGTTTCTGGCTTCTAACGCAATGTTTTGCTAATTTAAGCATAGTCTCACTGTGAATGCATTTTCTGATTCTAATAGGCAAATTTACTAATATCATTAATATCACTAATATCAGAAGAACAGTCATCATTCAAACTGCTTTCTTATGCACAACACAAAACAAGATATTTTGAAGAATGTTGGGGACCAAACAACACGAGACCCCAATTGAATTTCATTTGTATCAACAAAAAAAAAAAAAAAACTGTTTTCCTTTTTTGTGTTCTGCAAAAGAAACAAAGTCATACAGGTTTGAAACAACATGAGAGTGAGTAAATGATGACAGATTTTTTTTTTTAGGTTATAATAATCCTTATTGGATAGTTGGATAGTTTTCTACTGTCTAAGATTAAAATATGAAGAGGTGAGATAAAAGATTAAAGAATAAGTAGTATAAGTAGTATACATATCATCATATCATAACATTCCATTATGATAGTGTTGATATGGGATTATAAATAATGGATATTTCCCCTGTCTGCTGTCTTTGACGTCACACTTAAGTAAAGTCGCTAGTGAAGTGCTATGTGTTTTGTGTCCATGAGCAAAGATGGCAGCTTTAAAATCATGTACTTCCAGAATGTCGTGGCATTGAGATGAATGGGAATGCTAATGGATAGCTCTCTCCAGGTATTGTAGAGCTCCCTGAATGCTTCTTGTCCCACATCATCACTGCCCATAAATCCAGCATCCTGTCTCTCCCTGAGGAAGATTGATCTTCCTTGTGTTTGGCCTCTAGGTGAACAGCCTGTCCTCCACATACCATGCTGTGTCAGGGACAAGAGTTTTTTCCCCATTCTTTGTGTTTCAGTTTGATTTAAGCGAAGGCTTCTCTAAAGGCACACACAAACTCTCACATGGCATTGTAGTAGCAGCCAGTGCTGACAGGAGCACTCATGTTGCAGTAATATGTTAGTAAGACACCTGGCACCCACAAAGATAGGTCAGTTACGGTCTCGAGTTCAAATGCAGTGAAAATGTGTGTACGGTCAATTAAAGAGAAGTGGGGGATGGATGCCATTAAAGGGCTATCACTTTTCAACGGGAGCCTCTAACTGCTGCATATGTGTATGTGTGTGTATGTGTGCACTCATGAAACATGATTCAGAGATAAAACCATGCTACAGCTATCAAGTTTTCAAGCCCTGTATATTTTGTGCATCATATAATAGCCATGAAGTGACTATTATATAACCCCCTAACTGAATATATGTTTTGTGTGTGTGTGTGTGTCATATGCACATAAGCCTATATATACAATTTTTTTAGATAATATTGTACAAATGCACTCCTAATTAATATTATGAATAAAATGTGAGTGGTGCTAAGGTGTTATGGGTGGTTGCAAATGATTTGGCCACTAATTATGGCACATGTTCCTCTTTAATACTGATTAATGGGGTTTTCTAACCAGTTTTATATGGATGTATTTTATTTTTATTTATTTATTTAATTCTATCACTATCTGCTAAAGTTTAATACTTTCAGTTAGAGGTCTATTCAAATCATTAACCACATGAGCAATAATAATAGTGATGCGACTTGCAAACACTTCTGGAAACATGGAACCACAGAAAGATTATCATAAACTTTAATTTGGCCCCAGTATTTGAAAAGAAATCTGAGTGTATGTGAGTGTGCAAGATGTTTTGTGATGTTCAGAGGAAAATCCAGATGACTCCAACCACACGCCTATATCTAGGCTACAGGAAAAAGGAAAAGCATGTTGAACAAGGGTAAAACTGAATGTGTGTGCGCATGTGTGCAATGGCTTGTGTATGAACTTCTGAGAGCCAGTTTTTAGAGTTTTGTTAACAACGTATGTGTTTGGCAATCCTCTGCAAATATTGAAGTGTTGTCGCGAGGTCGACATGTAGAAAGTAATATTTTTGATTGAATATTATGAGGGTACATAAAAAACAAAAAACATAATTTATGATACAGATTGCATTATTCCATTAAACATGAACAAGAATTGACAGTTTTGGAAGAGACAATAAGAAGGAAACAATTAATGAAATTTTTTTTTTTATTTATTTATTTTTTTTAAAGGTTGTGAACACACAAAAAAAATTACAATTATTATTATTTATTTTTTTTACTATTAAATAAGGAAAAATTGTGATGCAAAATATATTTTAATGAAACGTAAATTAAATCTCCTAAAATGTGATGGAGCAACCTCTGAGTAATAAAATATTCTGGAACCTTCTTTTTTGCATTTATCCAAAGCGACTGTACATGTAAAAATAAAGGTTGTTATTGGCATCCATGGCTCCATGAAGAACCTTTAACATCCATAAAACCTCTCTTTCCAATTGGACAAGTTTTCTTTATAGTGTAAAAAAGGTTCTTTAGGTTATTAAAATATTCTTCACACTAAGAAAAAAAGTGGTTCTTTTAGGGACTGTTCACTGAAAAGTTCTGAAAATGGTTCTTTTATGGCATTACTGTGAAAACACCCTTTTGGAACCTTTATTTTAAGTGTAATCAAACATGCACATTTCATCAGTTCATGCATTCACTGGGAATCAAACCCATGACCTTGGTGTGTCTAGTGCCATGTTGTACTGTTTGAGCTACAGGAAATGTTGAATTTGTAATAACTAGCATTTAGATACACATTTGTTTAAATTTTACCCACATTTTCTATTATATTTGTTATGTAAAATTATACAGCAAGTCACTCTGGAATGCAAGTTTCCTTCCTAATTCTGGAAGTTATAGTGCTATTTTTTCATTCAAGTCGTAAGTCTGGAAAAAGAGTCATGTTGACTTCTAGCAGGAATGTAGGATTTTTCAGTCTGTCTTCAAGGGACTGTGATTTTTATGTCACTCAGGGTCACAACATTAAAATGATGTGTTTAAAGCAGATTGATTGACAGTGTCCTTGTTTCTCTGTGTGTTCTGGAAATAGGAGCACCCAATCCAGGACAGCCTGCCAGTCAGAACAGATTATACTGAGCCAGAGGATGGACCGTTATCAGGTACAGAAAACACACACACACACACACACACACACACACTCCAAGGACAGAGAATTACAAGGAGGCAAAGGATGGACAGTTATCAGAAAAACAACACAGGTTTCCTCTCCGAGTTGGAGATTTGGAGAGGAAATCTATTCAAGTACACAGTGGAAAAAGGCAGAAGTTCTGCAGCCTTTGTGGAAAATATAATCACATTGAATCATGGCCTTGAATTTTGGGCTGTCTGCAGCATGATGCTTTGAGTGCTGACCGAGTCTGCCGCTCGGTCAGGGACCTTTAATAAACAAGGAAAAACTAATTGTATTTCTTCTTCAATGTCTCATTATGGCTGGCCTGTGAGAGGATGATTTATGGCAGCGTAGCAAGACATTTAGTCTGTCTGGGTGCCGTCTGTAACTCAAACATTGGTTAACAGCAAGAGCACAACCCTGCAAAACCATACTAACATATTGTCATTGCTGAAATAGTGTTTCAACAGCATTTTCAAACAATATAGATGTAAAAAAAAAAAAAGAAAAATAATTATTTTTTGTTCATTTGCAGTTTATAAAGACTGAAAGGCCCTGATATTAGCTATAGAAAATCCTTTACAAAAGTCATTTTATAATTTGCCCACTGCGACCAATCATGATTTGTTTTTATATCGTAATTGCTAGCTGGAGGCAGCTGGTGTTTAAATTTAGGGGCAGATTTATTGTACAAAGTTTTGTATACACCCTTGTGTGCATGATCATTGATATTCTTGGTCCATTTTGCCAAAAGTGAAAGGCTAAACATTAAATGTGTATTTTTTTAATGAAACATTTTCACACTAAAACCTAACAAGCATGCTTAACCCACAAAACTCCACTTTTGATTTCATGGGGTTTTCCACAGAAATGTTTGTAGATTTTAAGTCAGTTCTGATTCTTTTAGCTCAGTTCTCATATGATGGATTCTTTGTGTGTGTGTGTGTGTGTGTGTGTGTGTGTGTGTGTGTCTTGCCAAACTGCAGGGAACAAAAGTGAAGCATTCACGCACACATCTGTCCCATCCATCTGTACAGACCTTTAAGTCAATTCATGCAATGTAGACAATTGTGACTTTCCAAAGACTTGATTAACAATCATCAGTGATTGATAGAAAACAAGCAAGTGACATTATACACTCAATTTATGCATGTTTTTTCTCAGTATGGAGTGTGTTTGTGTGTGCGTATATGTGAGCATGTATGTTTTGGAAAACATGCTGAAAAATCATTAGTGGCTTCAGCACTGTTAATTCAGTGGAACAATAAACCACAAGGGAGAAATAAGTGAAAAATTGAATAGTTTAAGCAAAGATATGACCTTGTTTGGACATTTTTGATTAAATTATCACTATTTATTTTATGTATTATTTTTTTTATTTATAGATATATTAGATACCTAAATAGATATTAGATTTTTATATTTGAAGAAGAAAATATATGTAATACTTGCCTATGCACCATTTACTGTCGCAATGGGTGTTGTAGGTGGGTGCCATGGCAATACTGTAGTGTACTATGCAGTCGCAAAGGTTTTCTGTGTGGTTATTTTCAATGATATTCTGATTTCTAAAAAATAAAACAAAAAAAAGGTGTGTGACATTGCTGAATATTAGAAAAGATTGTGGAGATTCAATAAAATAATACTTTCCTATTCTTTGTACTTAAAGGAATAGTTCACCAAAAAATGGAAAATTGCAGTGAAATGGGTTCATTTATTACAAACACAGATTTGTGCTTCACAAGACATTAATTGATGGACTGGAGTCGTGTTCATTACTTGTGGCTTATTGTGATGCTTTTATCAGCTGTTTGGACTCTTATTCTGACGGCACCCATTCACTGCAGAGGA